ATTTCACACATGGTGTCACCTTTCTCATTACACCACCTTTGTACGCATTTTCGGTGAGCATACTGAAAAACAGAGTAGATACAAAATACGATAAGATTGCTGATTATATCTTCAACGATTCGATATCAAGAACAGTTTATTGAATAAAGTAACGACACGGGCTCTCACTAAAAAAAGTGGATTTAGCATTAAAATATCGAAATAAACGAACGAGAAAAATTCAACCTTTAAGCTACCGGAGCACGAGCAAGGAGACTCCATCTTGGTATCCATATCTTCGTCCTGGCATATTCTGCACTCCACCAATTTCTTCGGAGCCAAACTAAATTCGCAGTCAACTTCGGAGGAACAGTCGATAACTGTGTCCTCGATTATCAGAGGTGGGGCCCGCTTTAACGAGTTTACGCTCTCGATTGCAGCCTCTAAAGTTGATTCCGTAAGCAAGCGGTCGACTAGCAACACAAAGTGATCCCCCATTCTTCGCCAAAGTGTATTTTTATTTCTTCTTCTTACCTATCAATAAAACAGGGAAAGTTATGTTATGCAATCAAGAAACTTACAACACATACGAAAGGAAATGAATCGAAAGTTCTTGTTCTATTGGCCTATTATACGAGTAGAAGATATAACTAATCGATCGATAAGCTCCGAAGAATAAGAAGGATTTCAAGATATACACAAATTTAAACCCCTCCACACACACACACACACACACACACACACACACACACACACACACACACACACACACACATAAGAAGAAAAGCTTAGAAAATAAAAGCTTCTTTAAAGAACCCAAAAAACACCAAATTTGTCAGAAACCCCCTTCACCAAAACACCCAAAAAAAAAATAATAAATAAGCACATTCAAGAAACTCACAAGAACAAGGCAAATTTTACACACACACACACACACACACAGACACACACACACACACACACACACACACACACATACACACACGCACACACACACACAAATGGGAAAAAAGACAACCTTATTCAACGTTCAAATACAAATGAAAAAATAAATACATACAAATGAAAATATACATACAAATGAAAAAATCCATTGAACAAAGACAACCCAATATGGGAAAAATAACACATACCCAGACGGAAAAAAAATAAAAATAAAAAAGCGATCTTTAACACAGCGGCGGTGTTTGAATGCAAAGCTAATGGACTTTTGTGACAGAAATTATAAATAAAAAAAAGTTTGGGGGAAAAATTAAAAAGAAGAGAGAGACTTACAAATAAGGGGAGAGGATATCTGAAAGCTAAAGAAATCTTTCCTTTGTTTGCTAAAAGCAAGAGATTGAGTGTTCTTGTTTTTCTCAGCACCACTTCAAAAAAACAAAATTTAAATTATTTTGGTTTGAAAATCAAATTACATATGCTGTGTGTAATGATGTGTGTCTGTATATATATATGTGTATGTATATATATGTGCGCGCACACACACAGAGAGAGAAGCTAAAACGCAGAAGCTTTTTTTTTCAAAGTTCAAAGAAAGAAATAAAAATAAAATAATAAGTCTTAGAATAGAATAGTGCCTTTGAGCCTTTCAAGCATGTCCCCACCATCTATATTTTACTAATTTTGCTATTGTAGTGACATTTGTGCAATGTGCATGCATCATTTTTTTTTTATAATTATTTTAGTAATATTTTTTTCGGTAAATTATGGTCACTCCTTGATGTATGGTCAAATTATAAAAAAATCTCTCATATTTTGGATAATTCAAGTACAACTACCCCTCAACTATATATCGTTTGACGGAGACATAAAACTCGTCTTTCAGCAAGTATATTTAACACCATAAGGGTAGACATGTAAGACAATATATAATTGAGGGAGATGGTTGTAATTACCCACATATGAGGGGTATTTTTGTAATTTCACCTGAGCACTGGAAGGTGGATGTGTAAGACAATACATAATTGATGAATATGGTTGTAATTATTACCCACACGTGAGGGGTATTTTCGTAATTTGACATCAATTTTGGGAGGGTGGACGTGTAAGACAATACATAATTGAGGGAGATGGTTGTAATTATCCAAACATGAGGGGTATTTTTGTAACTTGACCTTATCTCAGAAGGTTGCGACAGTAATTTTACCATTTTTTTGTTATAGATAATTTGTTGTTTTTAAGTTTTATTAATGGCAAATAGACGATTGGTTTCTCGGATTTCATGAGATCATTTAGTTATGAACTTAGCTGATTATTATGAGGGTGAATTGTCATTTTTCAATAATGGTTTTTTTTTTTAAATTAAAATTTAAGATGTAATGATCTCCATTTAGTTTAATTAATCGTATTAATTAAAGGGTTTTATAACGTAATAATCATGACTATTAATGTGTATTATACAGTGTAGTGGAAGGTTACTCTTTCAATATTTTTGAATAAAACTTTAGTTTGATTAATTGAGTTAAATTAAATAATTTTCCAACTTCACATCAAACTCCTTATTCAAAAGAGGTTATTTAAAGTTTAATTATTTGATTAGTTTGATAACATATTTATTAATTGTTACTACTTTTTAAGTACTGAAATTGAACGATAAATTAATAAGAGACGATAAATTCAGTTCATTGTGTTTGTTAGATTAGGGCATTAATTAGCCATTAGGTTAGATAAAGATGTAATAAATAATCTCAATTACTTCATTGAAAACTTGGACTAAAGTTTGTCAAATTTTCAAACTGTATTTAATGCAAAAGGAAATTACAGTTAGTGATTAGTTACTAGTAATTTCGTAACATTGATTCTAATTATACGAGCAGTGACAGAGCCAGAATTTTTAATTCGGATAGTGACTGAATGCATTAAAAACAGTACGACGATACTCAATAGCCAAAGAGAAGCAATGTGCTAATTAATTGTAATGTGACATATAAGTTTGCCTTGATCTCTTATATAACTAAATTATTATCTAATTATGTAATTCTAAAACAAGCAAATTGATTTACACTTCTATTGTTTTTTATTTTTTCAGAACAAATAAATTAAATTTATGTAAACTAAGAAATCATAAAAACCCACCCATTCAAAAATCTGAATGAGGATAAACGAGTTGAATTGGTGAATTGGTGACTTGATTTAGTCGTGCCCAAAATTGAAGACATAATAAATTACAATTTCTACCGCAACAAATTGGACTTCCAAAGTCAGCGTACAAACTTTGACTGCCTAAAAAAAATATTCCCATAAAAAAAAGAAAAATTAGACGTGTGCAAGTTGATTGGTTGGCTAACTTTGGTAGAGTTTTATTGATAAACATTAAATTAATAAATAAATAAAAATAAATAAATTGTCTCTCTCAGAACCCAAATTTTGGAGGATTTGGTTAGTTGTGACGAGACTAAAGGTCATTGGTATGGTTGGCCACCTTTCTTACCTCGTCACCATATTGCACCCATAATCAATAATTAAAATAAATTAAATAATCATTTTTAATTTTTCTTTTTCTATACTACAAATGGAAATTCAATTAAAAAAAAATGATGCATCTATTTGCTTTTAATTTGAGAACTCAATTTAGATTGGTACTAAGTACTGGTAGTGACGAAACCAGAATTTAATCACCTAGGAAATCAAATATATATTAAAAAAACAATGTAAAATACTGATTTCAGTACTGCGCGCGTACTAAAGCGGTTACATGCAAATACAATCGAATTAGGTTGAACTTGAACCACAAGTTTAATTGTTTAACAAAGCAAATATCATAGAGAATCCCAGTAGTGGTCTGGCCAATAGAATTTTGGATAAATAATTATTTAAGATTCCTTAATAAGGAAATAATAATCAATTATTAAGAGAGATAAAATATTGTAAATAATGTAATTGATCCACGTGGGCATGGATGATATAGGCAGATTATATTGGACCATCAATTGAGCAGGTGAGTTAGATGATCCAGCTTAGCTTTTATTTAATTTATGTTAATTTTCCTTTTTTCAAATTAATAAATGTTGTGTTTGTAGATCAGCAGAAAACGAACTAATTAAATTAGTACAAAAAGTCAACAAAAAAGTGAAGATCTTGTTGACTATGAATGTTGCAAAAAAATTATGATTTATTAAATAATTATGACTTACAACATATAATCAGCTGGTTCATAGTAATTAACTGGTTGACATTAATTTCTGCATCAAATAAAACATTTCTTAGGGCCCGTTTGACAGGATTAAGTGCTGAATGCTGAATGCTGAATGTGTGTCTGAATAGCTAAGAGCTGTGTCTGAATGCTGAATGCTGATCAATTAAGTCCATTTGATAACTGAATATCAGTGACATCTGAATAATATTGTTTTCCTATTATACCCTTATTTAAGTGCTGACATTTCATTTTTTTAATCAAATTTGATTAACCTATATGTATAAAATTTTAATGGAATGGAATAAAATATTGGCAATGATTGCATAAAAAGCCAGGCCCATATTGCAATGATTGCATAAAAAGCCCTAACCAATCTCAAATGTTGCAGGCCCATTATAGATTTTCGGGCCGGCTTTATTTAAATCCATAAAATAAACAAATTACGATTGTGACATCCGACCC